GGTGGGCGAGCAGAGCGGGTGGGCAGGGGCTTCCCTCGGGCTCCCTCCTCGCTCGTGCGGGTCCTCCATTGTTGCTCTGACAAAGGCAGCCCTGTTCCTCCCCACAACTATTCCTTGTCAGCATCCCGCAGCATTTCGGCTGCAGATTTCCTGCCCGCTGGCGGCGTTTCAAGAGGCAGCCCGGGCGTGGGACGTGGATGGAAAGCGGATTAGTGGGGCAGGCTGGTGGAAGGTAGTGCCGCGCCGTGGGGTGTGGGCAGAGGCAGGTCTGCGTGGTGGGGCTGCTCCCCAAAAACCTGTAGTGGCAACCATGAAAAAAAGCGTCAAGCCAGCAGGACCCTGTCCTTACACTGGCGAGGTCAAGTGGTTGGCTCGAAGCCACACAAGGAGCCAAGATCTGAAACTGAATTGGGGTCTCTCATGGCTGAAGCTGGAGCCGTGACCACCGGGATCGCTCCATTGTCCCCGCCAAACTGCAGCTTGCTGTCTCCTTCCCCACTTGAGAAGCCAAAGCGGCCCCGGGGTCACTGTGTGCGCTTCCCTGGAGTGCTGTGCTCGGATCTGGTGCTGTGCCTGGATCTGGTGCTGGCCTGTCTGACGCCGGCTCTGCACCACGTTTGTTCCATGGTGTGGCTTGGCCGGGAGGTCCCAAGGCTGCAGAAACTGGGACCAGTTGTGCAGTGAGTTGGGTGATTCCCAGGCTCAGTAGACGGACTCTTCCAGCTCCTCTTCACCTTCTCCCCGTGTGCTGCTGAGACACCATGGGCTGGCCATGGAGCTGGGGGGGTCAGGGGCTGTCCTGTGTGTAGGCTGCACTAATCCTGCACTTGATCCTGGGGACATCAGTCCCCACAGCTATCGGCTTAGCCCATGATTTCCTGAGGGAAAGGCTTGACAGCCTCTCCGAGGTGTTGAGCCCCTGCCTGTGCCTCACCGTGCTGTGGGGCTACTCTGCATCCTCTGGGGATGCAGGAGGAAGGGGCTCGGATCCCCCACACTGTGCTTTGCCTTTGGGAAAGCCTCTCGCAATGCTGCAGTGATCCCAGCAGTAAACATACACTTCACAGGGCTGCTAATGGGAACCATATGGCAGAGAGGGGCCTCTCGCCCTCCGCAGTCACGCTGCTTTCCTGTGCCGGAAACCCATCGGCTCTCGGAGAGGCCATTAGCCAGCGCAGGGCTGGGGGCCCGCTGGGAGCCGGCTGGAGTGGCAGTGAGGGCAACCCGGGCAGCCCCACTGGAGAGGGGGGATGCTCCCTGCATCCGTCCCGGCTGTGGGAATGGCGATGCTTTGGAGGCAGATCGCCATCAGGGATTGGGGAATTTCCTTGGTGGACCAGCCCAGATGCTTCCCTCTCCCTACATCTGCCCCCAGGGTCAGGCAGGAAGGTGAGAGGGGATGGGAGAGGCTGCTCGGCAAAAGCTCTGTGACCGGGCAGCTTCTGGGATGAATGTTGCCTTCCTCACCCCAAACTGCTCCCCACCTGGTGCTGGAAGACAGCCATAGCGCTCCTGTAGCTGCTCCCACACGGCAGCAGGCACACCTTCCCTGCAGATGCCAGACGAGCTCCAACCCCCCGGTCCCGAGTCCAACACCAACATCCTGAGATCACCAAAACAGCCCCCAGAGCCGAACCGGCAGCTGCCGGCGATGAGCTGGGCGGGCAGAGCCGCAGCTCGGGCACCAAGTGCAGCCTGGTGCCATGAACACACCGAGATCCGCCTCCCTCGGCGCCCGCCGTGCTGCGGCCACCGGTGCTGCCATCGGAACCTGCTCCTCTTCCAGGGTAGATGGCACGAGCCCAGATCCCTTGGAGAAAGGTTTTTTTTTGTCCACAGCAGCCATCAGATGCTCCCCAGAGGGGCAGGAAGGATGGAGGCTGGGAGGCAAAGGGCTTCTCACCTGGTCCTGAGCCAGATGCCTGAAATTGCTGGCTGCATGAGGAGGAGGGGACAGTCCTCAGTCCTGCTCTTCCCAGGCTGCATAGATGGCTAAGAGCCTTAGGGAACAGAGGTCTGGAAAAGTCATACCTAGCAGTTATGGTGCCAGCCTCCGCCGTGGAGACTTGGACTCGGCTTTCTCGCTTTGCCACAGATGCCCTCTGTGCCCCTCAGAAAATCAGCGAGCCCCCGCACACCCCCGCAATGTGAAAGCTTGATCACATCCATGTGGCAGCACGTCCTTAAGCAAAGTCTGTGCCACTGGGGTTCCTCTGCTCACGGAGGCTTGTGTTGACTGCCTTGGGCTTAAATCCCACCCTGGGCAGGCTAAGGCCTCCTTGGAGGAGCGATGAGAGCAGCCGAGAGCCTCCGAGAAACCCCCCTGCAGTTTCTAACTTGCCGTGTTCCCCTTATTGCTTCAGCACACCCTTCCCCTTTGAGATTTCTACTCTTGCCTCCTGTCCTCCGGCAGGAAGGATGTTTAGCAACTTCTCAGACGCCCGTAGGGCAGCTACGCCGAGGGCCCCTCGCGTGAAACGGAGGCTGGAGGAGCGTGGGCACGGGGCTGCGAGCAGGGTATGTGCACGGAGGGGCAGAGGGAGGTTAAGAGGAAGGAGACCTGGAGCATGGGACTGGATGGAGAACATCAAGCCACGGGGTAGGATAAGTGGGATTGGCATTGAAGGGAACGGGGTTTGGGGGCAAGAGAAGCCAAGGTGGAAAGACTCAGGGAGGATGTGCTTATGGGGAAGGGCAGGAGGGAGATGATGGAGAGACTGGGGAAACCGAGGGAAAGGAGGGGTAGGGGAGGGAGATGAGCTGTGAGGGAAGAAGAAAGGAAGTTGGGGGTGGAGAAATGTTTTGGGCAAAGGTGGGGGAGAAGGTGAAAGGCAGGTGAAAAAGGGGAGGGTTGTGCATCTGCATTAGAGGTGAGCACAGGGTAGGGACCAGAGGGGTTTTACGGGTTCCTCAAGTTCCCTTTGGGGTCTGCGCTGGGCTGTAGGCACTGTACAGACCCCAGAGACATAATGGGGAAGGTCCTGTCCCAGGGAACGGGGGGGGGCAGAGAGAGGCTGTGGGTTTGGGACTGGGCCGCTCCTCGGCCGATACACGCCGGTATGGCAGCAGCTGCCTGCGTGCTGCCATCCACCCTGCTCAGCGGGCAGGAAATAACAAGCAAACCACAGAGGAGACGGGAAATGATGTAGGTAAAATCGGAGCCGTGTTCTTAGACGAGGCTGTGAAATGTTTGAGTCGAGCTGTCCAGCCCCCAGGGCTGCGAGGGGGAGCCCAGCTCACCCACCACTGCCCGGGACCTGCAGTAAAGGTCTCTCAGCTCTGAAAGCAGCCACTGATTTTGGGTGCTTTGCTGGGCACAACGCAAGCCTGGTGTCAGATGCGGGGCGTTGGGACTTTTTAGGCAACCAAAGAGCCCCCAGAGCCCTGGGCATGTGTGCAAATGTCACCGTGAGACTGGCGTTGTGGAGAGAGCCGCTGCCCCAAGCCCTCCACCCCGGCACCTCAGGGTCCAGCCTAGCCCTTGGGCAGCAGGAAAGTTTTGGGGTGACACAATGAGGACAAGAGGTTTCAGTAAAAGAGGAAAGCAGCCCCAGGCAGGAGGGTGGGTGCAGGTTTGCCAGACCCCATCCCATCACTGCTGAGCTGCACAGCCACCCCTTCACCCACCTATTCCCTGCTCTGCTCCTCCCCCCATCATTTGTTCAACCCCCCATCTCTCCTTGCATATGCAAACAGGGCTGATCAGGCCTGACCTTTTATGGGTGTTTTGAAGATAAGGCGCAGTGGGGAAAAACCCCTGAGGATCTGTCAGTGCGTTTTCAGCTGATTTTTACCAAAAGGGGTAATTTGTAAAGCTGGTGGTGTTTTTTTTCTCTGTGCTAACCTGTCAGACTCATCCTCCTGGGCACTCAGCACATCACACAGAGGCCACAGCTCACGGGTCTCAGCCTAAAGGCAACACAGCCTCCCCAGCGAAGACAAAATCCCCATCACTTGCTCTGCTGAGCTGTGATCTGGTCTGCTCAGCAAGGCTTTTCTGGGCTAAAATTAGACTAAAATCACAGTCCTTGCTCCAGCTACACCAGTCCTTCAGTAGCTACATTAGTGAAACACTGGGCACTGGTTTTGCTGCCTCGGTGGGACTGTGGCTCTGGCTGGGATTTGTACTCTTGCTTCTACGGGCTTGGCCATTGCCTGGCAATTGCCTTCCACGTGCGGGTTTGGAGCAGGAGCCATCATTACCTTCTGCTCCTGTTTCCAGCAGCCCTCTCCCACCCTAGCCCCCACCCTAGCCCAGTTTGGAGGGATGGGACCAGACCTACCGAGCTCTAGCTCAACGCCCCAGCTCACTTGCCAGCTTCCAAAAACTGAGCAGTATCCAGACCCGCATCTCCTGTCTGCCAGTCCAGCCTGGCGTGCCTAAACCTCTTGGATCCCTGAAGAAACCCCTAGACCAAAGAGGCTGCCCTGACCCCACCAAGGAGGCTTTGAGCACGCTGCTGCCAGGCACCAGCTCCTGCAGAACTGCGCAGCTGCCCGGTTTGGGGTGATGAAACCAGCCATGTTCCTGTCGACATTTCCTTTCCAGGTGTTGCAAGAGGTCTGTCTTAGACACCTCCCCAGGGAACGTCGGCCCACAGACTTCAAGCTCAGGATTAAATAGACGGAGAAGGGGAAGGAACCATGTTCCAGGCCACTGGACCCGCCAGCCCACCCCCAACTCATGTACGTAGCATCCCCTGTGGATTGTGTGAGGCTTTCAACCCGGGTTTTGGATCTCAGGGATGGAAGGTTATGCACAGAGCAAGATTCCAGACTTGACATTTTAGGGTGATCAAAGGCACAGTCACTGCTACTCAAACAACAGAACTGGGGACCAGAATGTTCCAGCAGAAGGTGCTGTTTGCTGAGCACGTTGCAAAGCCAGCGTCCAGGCTCTGGTTCCGTACGGAGCGGCTCACCCTGCTCTCGTCTCGAGTTGCTGTCTGTTTGTTTGTGTTTCCATGGCTTTCTGTGATCACAATTGAGAGCATGCGAGCTGCTTAGGGCTGGAGTGATTGGAGATGGAAAAACATAAAGGCTCAAGAACATCTCCTGCTGGGACAGGATATGGCCCTTCCCCCAGGGAGGATATATCAGATATGAAATAGATAGTGTGCCTGATCGGAGCCAGAAGGCTGCCGAGAAGTGACGAGCAACGGTGAATTGCCTGTAGCCTTGGGAACGGATGTATTCCAGCTCCAAAGAGGCAGCGTCTTCCTTAGCTCTGGTCAGCTGAGCCTGGAAATAAATCCTAACCCCAGGAGAGCACCTGCGGTTGCTTAACCAGAGCCGAGGGATGCAACTGGTTTTACACGGCCTGAGCCTCCTCGCTGCCCATGTCCCTCTGTTGACTTTGGCTTACTCTTCCAGCCTTGTGGGAGTGAGAGGAAAATCCCGTCCCTGACCTCCGTCAACGCGAGCAGCTGGGAAACGTCTGAAGAGGCAGCTCAGCGAAGTGAGAGCTTCCTGTGCGTCTCTTAGGCAAAATGCTTCCAAAAATACAAAGGAGAAACGATGGGGAAGGACAAAGCAGGAGGAATGGGGATGGAAGATCAGCCTGGGGGCAGAGAGATGGGGCAGTGCTGGCCAAGTAGAGCCAAACCAGCAGCAAGAGGAAGGAGGAGGCAGCAGGGTGATGTCCTGAGCTCTCATTTTGGTTTCTCTTCTTCTTCCCTTCTTAGGAGGCAAAGAACAACTCAGGAGGCAGCACGGTGCAGCGCTCCAAGGTACCTGCAGTTTTACCACATCCTACTGATTCACGGTGAGGGGGGAAAGACCGAAAGCCTAAGGCGCAGGCACCAATCCAGCCCAGCATCAGTGGAGCCGTACAGGGAGGGCGAGGGGAGATGGGGGGAGGTGGTGGAGTCACCACCCCTGGAGGGATTTGGGACATATGGATGTGGTTCTCAGGGACATGGTTTAGTGGTGGGCTTGGCAGTGGGGGATTAAAGGTTGGACTTGATGATCTTAAAAGGCTTTTCCAACCTAAATGATTCCAGGGGGCTGCTTCACAGCATCCAATGCTCCGGTAAAGGCAGCATGGATGTTGGGAAATAGGGCTGTGGTGGGAGCCAGGCACAGGATCTCCCACACCCCTCCTCACCCTCTCTGCCTTTGGCATCCCCTTCCCCAGTCCTTCAGCCTGAAGGCGCAAGTGAAGGAGATGTGCACTGCCTGCCAGAAAACCGTCTATCCCATGGAGCGGCTGGTGGCGGATAAATTCGTCTTCCACAACGCCTGCTTCTGCTGCAAGCACTGCCACACTAAGCTCAGGTGAGCCGGGCCGGGAGGCTGCGCAGTGCTTGCTGATGGCGAGCTGCAGGGTGTCTGTAACCGTGACCCCATACCCGGGTGAGGGAGGCCCTTCCAAACAGTGCACCCACCCCCCCATCACAGCCCTTCCTCCTCTTGTGCGCTGGCTACAGACCCCCAGCACACTCATTACAGCAAAAAAAATGGCTTATTTGCCTGCCTGGTCCTAAGTCTCAGCCAAATCCCACCTGGTATGGAAAAAGAGCAGGGAGAGCTCCAAGGTACCGCAGAGCTGAGCCCCAGCTCCCTCCTAGATGACACAGAGCCAAGGCTGAGCTACCGGACCCCCCTTCTTCACAGACCTTTAAGGCTGCTCAGTTGGCTGGAGCAAGCAGTTGGCCCCTTTTTAAGAGTCCTCTCCTGCATCTTCCCCTCTCCCTTCCTCCCCTGTCCTGGTGCCCCTGAGCCTCACACAATCCCCCCAGCCTGCGGCCGCGTCCCCATGCCCAGCTAACCCTGCCCTCCTTCCCCAGCCTGGGCAGCTACGCGGCACTCCACGGGGAATTCTACTGCAAGCCCCACTTCCAGCAGCTCTTCAAGAGTAAAGGCAACTACGACGAGGGCTTCGGGCGCAAGCAGCACAAGGAGCTGTGGGTGCACAAGGAGGTGGAGAGTGGGACCAAGTCGGCGTGAGCGGGGCCAGCCCACCCCTCCCTGGAGCCCAGCAGACAGCACGGAGCGCTGCTGAGCCGGGGGCTAACTGAGCTGATGTAAAGCAAAGGGGGCACAAGGGCCTGCGGGTGGGAAGGGAAGGGAGGCAGCCCAGCCCTCTTGGGAGGATGCTTAGAGGGGTCCTACAGCCATAAGGACAGGGCAGAGGTGACCGGGGTATAGCCCCAGACGTGAAGCCCACTCTGCAGGCTCCTCTCACTGAGATCAGACCAGAAGCACCAACCTCCATGGCAACCCCAGCCCTGTTCATGCGTTCAGGCCTGCCACCACGGACGAGACGACCTGGGGGCTTGACCTAAGTCACAGCAGAGCTCCCAGCTCCTGCCACACCAATCCTGCCTTGCTGGGGCTCGAAATAAGAAGGGTCCTTGGTTTACATCAGCTCAGTTCAGCTGGGATTGTTCAGCCTTAAGGATGTTGCCCTGCGACTGTTTAACAGCGTCTGTCTTTTTTATATTTGCCTTCGATTGGTACGTTCCGCGCTGGAGCCTGGCACGGCAGCTTCACGCGCGACACCGCGCCACGCGCTCTTTTATTTTTGTAATACAAGGTTTCCGAGCCTTCCCTCTCTTGTCCTGTGTTCCCAGGGGTTCGGGAAGGTGGGAGCAGTGGTCAGGTCTGCCTCTTCCTGCCCGGTTACTGTGGAAAGAGCCTCTGCCCATGCAGGACCAAGGAAGTATCCCTGGATCTGTGTGTAAGGTTACGGCTGAGGCAGACTGGCCGTTTGGGGACCGAAGGCAGGATTTCAGTCCGCATGCCAGCGTTCCCACCCTGCGAGCTACACACCTCAGCTGTAACCACTTCCACATGGAGCCCAGACCACCCTCAAAGGGAATTCACCATCCTGTGAATTCAACCCACCCCTTCGCTCCGCATACATTTTGTGGCTTCCCCGCTTCCCCCTCCGTATCAATAAACACGGTGCCCTGCCTCCGCACGCAGACGCTGGCTCGGTTCTCTCTGCAGCCGGCGCGATGGGCTGGACGGGCCCCAGCGCTGGGCTGGCTGGTGCGGTGTGAGGTCCGGTTTGGGTCAGCCCCGTCTGCTGAGCTGGGATGCTTTGGACAGCACAGTCCGCACGAGTCAATGAGCCCAACAAGACCTGCCGGGCTGGAGAGCCGAATGCAGGGAAACCAGGGGAAGCAGGTGAGTCTGGTTTTAATTATTATTTACCTCCTTCCTCCACACGCGATTTGTAAGACCAGCTTGAAAGAGCAAGCATTCAGGAGCCCCGTGCCTCTCAAATGCCATGGGAATTAGGGTTTTCAGAGTCCCCACAGCAGAGCAACAGCCTTTGATATCACCAGCAAGAGCCCTATTCCATCACCAACTGACAACATCAGCTCCCGCTGAGCACGTCCTGTCTGGGAGAACCCAGACACGGCCATGAAAACAGGAGCTAAGGATTGAAGAAGGAAAAAGGTGGGTCCACAGGAGTCCCAGGAGGAACAGATCATAGAATCATAGAATGGTTTGGGTTGGAAGGGACCTTAAAGATCATCTAGTCCCACCCCCCCTGCCATGGGCAGGGACACCTTCCACTAGACCAGGTTGCTCCAAGCCTCATCCAGCCTGGCCTTGGACACTTCCAGGGATGGGGCATCCACAGCTTCTCTGGGCAACCTGTCCCAGTGCCTCCCCACCCTCTCGGGGAAGAATTTCTTCCTGATAGCTAATATCAGGAAGATAGAAGTATACGGGTGTGTATAGCTCAGGGAGGTCACTCAGTGGTACGGTGTTACATACACGGCGGGTCTGTTCCCTCAATACTCCATCCCAGACCACCCAAATCCTCCTGGGGCTCTGGGCATGCACCCACAGCCAGGCAGCATCTGCAGCTCTCCTTCACCAGCAAAGCCGGCTGCAGCCACACCTGATCCTGGGGAAGATAGTGCTGGATGACCCCAGGAGTCTGATGTCCCTCTTGTTGGACACATTACTCCTCCTTCTTAGCTAAGGGTTTGTGAAGGGCAGGTCTGTCAGCTCTTCTGGGTGGGAACTGCCTGGGGATTTACATGGCCAGCACAGCGAGGGCAGAGACCCTGGCAAGGCTCTGAATGAGATTCAGTGTCCCCAAGTGCTTAAACTGTCCCCATCACGCAGGTGCCGCCGACTCCTCACACCAACACGCAGGCAACAGCTTTACACCACGCCGAAAGCCGCTTCCTGAGCAGCCCCGCAGCATTCATTGTCATAAACCAGAAACCGAGCGTCGCTGCTCTGCGGCGAGGGTCTCGTGATGCTGCTGGGGTTGTGGCCCCTTCCTTCCGAAGGTCGGCTTTGAAAACGAAAGCAGACTCCTCCGTTTCGCTTCCTGTTTCTCGCTGGCCTCGTTTCCCGATTCCGCACCGCCGCAGGCTGCTCTCTTCTCCGCACAGCGGGGCGATCAGACACAAAGCATTTTTTGCTATACGAGATGATTTTGGAATAGGGCTGGAGAAAACTTTCAGATGTTGGGGTTTCAGTTTAAAAAAAAAAAAAATTAAGCAAGAATAATTATGTTCCATTTCTCCCCTTCCTCTTCAAAACTGAAATTTGGGATTTTGTCTAAGGCCAGGCACTCACCATTCTCTACCAACTCACTGTCCTATAACCTCTTCCCACACGGGCACCTCCAACTGTGGATACAGCAGGAACGGAGGGAACACGTGAGGCACAAGAGCTGCGAGATCTCCAGCCTGCGACACCATCGTTTTGGGATTCTGAGAGCAGGAACCAATGACCAGGTTGTGTATTACTGACACAGGCTGCAGCAACCTGACCCTTCCCCGAGAGGGTGGGGAGCACTGAGACAGGTTGCCCAGAGAAGCTGTGGATGCCCCATCCCTGGAAGTGGCCAAGGCCAGGCTGGATGAGGCTTGGAGCAACCTGGTCTAGTGGAAGGTGTCCCTGCCCATGGCAGGGGGGTTGGAACTGGATGATCTTTAAGGTCCCTTCCAACCCAAACCGTGCTGTGATTCCATGATTCTATGACCCAGGCTCCACAGTTCAGGGGAGGGAAGCAAAGCTGATGAGTATCAGGTTCACGTGGGAGGGAGATGCTCGGCACAGCCATGCTTCACAGAAGGGCTGCTGCACACAAAGCAGCGACCGGAGAAGTCCCGCTTCCCTGATTAACACGCCCGGCTCTGCACACAGGGAAACTCAAGTGCTCACACTTGCTGGAAGCATTTTTTTAAAATGATTTGAGCTTATTTTATCTCCTTGATAGATTTGAAAGGTGGTGCACCGCACGAAGGACAGTGCACACTTTCTGAGGGCGTACCAGAAGCGGCACGACACAAACCCTGGCTTCAAATGTCTCTGACTGGGAGGTTTCTGTAAAACAGATTTAAAAAAAAAAAAAAAAGCCCAAAACGTTGTCTCTTTGTCCCTAATGTTGAGCTAAAAATCCAGCTGATTTTATGAGTCTAGTCTCACCCCACTGGGACTGGAAACCTCCTTTCTGAACCACCCATCCCCTTTGCACCCTTTTTGGAAAACACACCCAAATCCTGTTTCGGAGCAGACACGGTGACTTCTCACGGCGAGAGCCTCACTTCAGATCTCCATCCCTCAGCACAAGGACCATCTTTTCTCATTCCAGCTGCCGACAGCCTCCCTGGACCAGCAGTCTGAGCTGGCAACCTGCACGTGTGGAGCGACCAGGATTCGGGATGTTCAGAGCCCACAGCTGGGGGTAGTATTTAACAGTGAAGAGAAGGACCACGGGCTCTCAGCATTTATAGCTACCAGACATTAGTACAGCTTTTTATTGGAAATTTCGGCGTGGCCAGAAGCCAGCCATCAACTTGGAGTGGTGGGGGGCAGCATTCTGTGCTCCCCCTCGTCCGGCAGAGCAGCACGCTGCAGCAGCCAGGGACAAAGACGGATCGGAGGGATATGGAGACAGAAGGTGCCCCAACAGGCGGGTTCAGAAAGAAGCCTGAAGCATTTGGCAAGCGAAGCAAGAGCCTGGGAGACAGATACTGCCCGCGACCTACTCGTGGCTGCTGCACAGAGCTTGCACCCCGTTGTGCTGAGATGAGCTACTCAAAGTTCCTTTTCAGTCATGACCTCGTCCCCGTCGGGGCTTCTTTCTGCTGCACAGAGGAGCCAGAGAAGCAGCAGAAGTTGCAGCCAAAGCAGGGGATGCTACAGCTCTCTCGGGCTCCAGCGATGCAGTGGGAGCTCAAGAGCAGCGGCTTTAATAGCAGCCTGAGTGCAGAGTGTATCGATGGCTGCTCCAACACCGAACCCTGAGGATGGCACACTGCCACCTGCACTTCCTCTCCTCCAAAGCGCAGATCAGGTCTTGTCACTGAAGAAACAAGACCACCGAGGAGCAACAAATAACCTTTATTGTATTACACACACCACAACTTCTGCGTTTCCACACAAGCACGAGGCTTGTTACCAACCTGCCTTTTAAGCCCAAGAAAGGACCTTTTACAGAGCCTAAAAATTCAAGCCAACACATTCACGTAATAAAAAGTGTTTTGGGGGGAAAAAAAAAAATCAGTAAGAATCCATATACATCCATACCTTCCAGATGTCCAGTTCTGGAGAAGACGCAGAGCACCAGGCAGAGATCAGCTCCAGAAGAAGTGACAGGACAGCTAGCCGTGCCAGCATTTCCTGGATGCGATGCAATACACCCACACCCAAGCACTATTAAACCCAGAAGACATTGTTCCGAGTTTGGACTTCACTCTCCTAATCGCCACAGTAGTGTCACATAGCCAACCCCTTTAGAGATTTTAAATTATATTTGCTCCAGAACCGTTTAACACTGGATTTAAAAAGTACCTTAAGTCACCCCGAGCCGCAACACGCATGTAACACAAACAGCCAGAAATAAAAAGGGCAGTCGAGGCTTTTAGCTGCATTTCTTTTGCGTGTTGGTCAGTGTTTCATGGATGATGATCATTTCCACCTTCAATCCAAGCCTCCAGACATCTCCCTCTCCCCTGCTCAACTACCTACAGACTGGCACGGGGAAGATTCAAGTCAGGACCATGCTCCGTATTTTTGGAAACCAGAATTACTACGGAGCTACTTCTGCGAGGGGTGGGCGGGAGGGGAGAGCGGGAGAAAACATGCTGTCAGGCAAGCCTAAGGCGTGAATCTCCTGTTCGCAGAGCAAAAGTTACCGCTGAACACACCGAGCGGAAGGGAGAAGGAA